TGCTGCAGGGGCTGGAGAAGACAGGTCATCCATCCCCTGCCAGGCTACCTCATGTTTTCTCTTCCAGGACCAACAAAGATAGATAGATAGATAGATAGATAGATAGATAGATAGATAGATAGATAGATTTGAAGTATATGCAGCCATTATTTCACTGGGAAGAGAATGGCAATGCAGTCCTGCACCATCACATGATACATAAATGCACTTCCCACTCACCCATGTTAATGGGATGGCTAAATCTGCAACTGTTGTTCTCTAGAAGAACTGCTCCCAGAGAAGGAAGCAAGAGAATTAATTCCCTACCAAAATAGGTCCAAAGCTGGAACAGCAAAAAAGAAAAGCCTTAGTCAATGGGAATTTTTTTCAAATTTAGATTTTGCTCTTCATTAGCAAAATTCTAGACCCATTGAAGGATGCTTAAGGTTTGCTATTGATTCAGTAAGGCCCAGACTTAAAACAGTTTTGAGGAGGAGTAATTAAAAATTCAGGCCTGTTCCTGTTAAAGTTGATGCACATTCTCCCTATATTTAAGCAGGCCAAACTTTAAAGACAGTTTTACTAGCAGTCAGGGAATATGCTCCAAGATGCAATTTACTGGCATTTGTGCATCACACATGTTTAGTAAATACAGCAGTGGGGAGGTCTCTGCACAAACAATAGTCTGCTCTAGCCATAAACTTACAGTACAGCTGATTCTTGTCATGAAGTTAAGTAGGAAAACAAAACAACAAAAACTTCTTTCTCAAAGTACATCACCACAGTGTCAAGCAATCCTGATTTCTCTCATGAATACATGTAACAGATATGGGAATCCTGCTTGGTTCTCCCTTATCAGCTCTAATGCCCTGACTTCCTTTCCCTGAAGATGTATGTGTGCACGTGTCTGTGTGTCTGCATAAGATTTTGGCTGACTAAACCCATTAAAGAGCAAGAATAGCTGCATTGAATTTACAAAGGCATTTATAACTCCAAGTGGCCGAAGATACGTCAAAAACATTGCGAAGACATTTGGTTTTGTTTTGTTTTCTCTTATAACTACAAATTAATACAGCTTTGAGTTTTCATCACCTCGATGGGGCAAGCCTTCTTTTACCACTTCAATAACAAACTGAAGTGCAACAAAAAGCAAATCCTAAAATAACCTGATTTTTAGACCAGCTCCACATCACTGACCTTACTGAGAACACAGCATAGCGTCACAATTACCAATCAGTATCTGCTCTGAAGTAGTGATGGAAGTGTGGTGAGAACCCAAACATCCCATCTCATGCCTATCCTATAGCTTTGGACACAGCGCATGTTATTAGAAGTGACAAGGAACATTTAGGGCAGGAGGGGCCTGGGGTTTTGAAGTCTTATCTCACAAACTATTTTTGATGCACCAAATTTTGAAGTGTTCTGTCATCTGCTGAAGAAAAAATCTAGCTACACCAAATGGATCAAGCTTAAAATCCAACTGCTGTGTAGCCTGAAGAAACCAAATAGTCTAAGGACATTAAAGGCATAAAGATACTTTGTGAAATCTGGGAAAGGTGTAAATATCAAGGGGATATCAATGGTTTATAAAATAAAGACAAAACCCACACCTTTTTTTCTATCATCAGTCCACAGTTTACCAAATCGTCCTGTATATCTCATAACACCAGAAAGTTTAGGTTGATTAAAAGACCAAACTCTCCCTGCAGCCAGTACTTCTGGCCTAGTGTTTTGGACACCCACAGGAATTTGCCAGGACAGACTATTTCTGTGCTGGCTCTGCTCAGATTACACTGAGACCTTCCTATCATCTCACTCCTGAAGTACCATTTGTACACATTCCAGCAAACTTTCAACACATACACGGAGCAAACGAGGCAGTTGGGAATTGCCACGCTGATGAATAGAGCCAGTAGGGTGTTTGGTTATCAGTTTTTGTTGCTGTGGGAACTTTTAACTGGAATAAAGAACCTTGGCTGTCATGTTGGGCTTTAATGATACCACACAGGGCATCACCAGATCTCCTACTTCCTCCTGTGGCAAGAAAGAAAATTGGGAATAACATATTCCCCAAACCAGACAATCTTTGAGAAGCAACAGGGTGAACAACCTTCTGTGGCTATAGGCATAAGAAAGAGCAAATGGTTTCCATTTCCCCTCCATGAAATATTTGGATGGTGCTTAAGTCCTCCAATCCATGCAGCAGCTGGCACTTGTATTTTCATAATAAAACCTTTAAATTCTCTTGGAGTGTACATCCCAACCAATCCCACTAAAACACATGACCAGACATAGGCATAAGGTTGGAGAAATAGTGCAAAGTTCGCCACAGAACCCAGAGGATCAGCACAATTTGCCAGATTCAGGGCTATTTTTGTTACACTAATATCATGTCTCTCATAGGTTTCAACTGTCTTCAGACATTCTTATGGTGATATAGGAGGATCAATGTCATTATTTTTTTTCCCTCTAATGAGCTTAAGAAAATCCTTAATCTTTTTAGTAGAAAAACAACATGTGTTTCAGATTTATGGGCAACTGATTTTTATTTTTAAAGCAAATAAGAGATGTCATCCTCTTCTGGCAGTTAAAACACGAATTCAAAGGGAGCCTCAGATTTTCTGCCTCCCATATCACTGAAATTCAGCCTGTGACACACTCCCATGGTGAGACATGGTAAGATTTATTACCTTTTATATAGAGTGAAACTGAAACACAGAGAGGATATCCTCTGCTAGACATGAGAGTGATCTCTGCACAACAATTACTGCTGCAGGGATCTGAAGATGGGAGATGTGAAGAATCTGAACCTGTTCAGACTTTGAGACATAAGCAGCATCTATAAATATTTCAGTTGGATGTGTTCACACAGAGACTATTGCCCTCATGTGTGATGATACTTTCTGACATCAGGATTATACTCAGACATGCAATTCCACCTCACAGTTACTCTGTGTGGATGGGGAAGAATCCTGGTGTGCAAGAATTGTCACCTTTCTGTGTCTCCCCAACACACACATTCCTAATTGCTCAGCCCCATCATTCCAGATGAAATGAACAATAAGCACTTCCAAGATTCCTGCTCATTTGAAGGGAAAAAAGAGTTCCACACCTTCTGAAAGGGATCAGAAGGGGAATGAGGTTCTGTCTGGGAGGGTTTAACCTCAGCGTGTGCTTTATAAAAGATCATACTAATATGTAAGATATGTAAACATTATAGAGCAATCCGAAACAAATGAAATGATGAATTCAGTTTAACAATATTCAGCTGTGGTGCAAGTGCCAGAAGGCACTTTTTGTTATGAATAGATCATTTGGATGAGTTACAGACCAGATTTGAACCCTGGCGTGTGCTAGGAAAATCAATGTCAAACCATCTAAGATCAGAAGGTATCAGCAGTACATCTGGCAGCCCAAAGAAATGAGAAATGTCTTTAAAATATATAAAGCTATAAATACACAAAGCTTTGAAATATAGAAAGCTTAGTTCTATAGAACTAAGCTAAAGTATGGAAGGACCTGCTTAAATGGCACTAATATGAGATCTGTTATGTATCTGATTTACAGAACCACAGAATCACAGAATATTTGGAGTTGGAAGGGACCCACAAGAATCATCGAGTCCAGTTCTTGGCCCTGCACAGGACAACCCCAAGAATCACATCATGTGCCTGAGAGCATTGTCCAAATGCTTCTTAAACTCTGTCAGCCTTGGGGCTGTGACCTCAGGCTCGCTGCTGTGACCAAGGTTTAGTTTCACCCTTCCCACTTGCCTCTTCCTTTAAAACAAAGAGGGAAAAAAGTCCACTTTTATTGTAAAAGTCTACGTGGAAAAAAAGCCGGATTGGCTAACTCACAGCTTATGGAAGTGAA